CTAATTCTTGATAACAAAAACAGTCAATCGTTAGACACAGAGGAAAAAGGTGGTGGTTGGTGAATCGGAAACCTGAGGAGGAGGCAAGTAACGCCAGAGAGCGAGACGCCAATCACTGTTAGGGACGGAGACGTAATGAAGCTCGTCGGCGGTGCAAACCGGCGGTTTCGTTGGGAGCTTAACGGAGGAAGAGAAGGCTCTCGGTCGAAAGAGCGTCGTGCGGTGACGACGGAACGAAAGAGTGGCGGTTCCGATGGGGCGGAAGACATAGACGGTGGAGGAAGCCCAGCGAAGAGCAGAGCGGATCTCTAAAGGGAATTGGGGAGGGATCGTAGCCATAACACTATACGGATTTGGGAAAATGGCTGGTCGGTGTTCACTCTCCGGGAACTTTCAAGGAGTCTTCATTCGCCGGTACACGTGGAGAGACGACCGGTGACGAGGAGGATTTGACTTTCTTCCCTTAACCGCGAATTGTTTGGGCCTTTGTAAATCACAAACCCAATTTTTACAATTAGATTTTGGGCTTTCGGCCTTTGGTGAGACTAGAAAGGTGAAGTGTAAAGTAAGTAAAGAATTTTGTAGATTATTTTGATTTTGAATTTAACTCATAACTTTTTTTTAAAAAAGAATCAAAACTATAGAAATCCATAAATTTAAGATATGTGTTGATTAAATAAATTAGAAAACAATGCTGGATAGAGGAAACAATTAATTTTTAAATAGTAAAATTATTTTTAGAAATTATATTTTAAATAAGCCAATAGATATAGATATATAATTAAATAGTTAAAAATCTAAATGTAATTATTTATCATACTAGTTTTTAATATTGAATTTAATATCTATATCCCCTTATATATAAATTCTATTTTATTTGTTTCCATTATTTATATAAACATGATTGGATCAATTATGTGATTAATTGTTTAACAAAAAAAAAAGTTATGCGATTAATTGATTCAAATGAGTAGTCTCTATTATTTCTGAAAAACAAAAACCATAAAAGTGCTAAAGGGGAAGGTAGCTTTTTCTTTATGGACCAAAAACATAACTTTACCTTTCCCCTTCCTTTGAATTTTCCCGAGAAAACTTGAAAGAGAT